ACCGTATTAAATTCATTGATATGTTCAGCAGCAACAGTGTTTTCAGACATCTTTAGGTTAAATAACTTTTTCATAAGATGTACCTTATTCATTGCTGAAGGCTTTTCATACATCTTTTCTAGGATTTTGAACAAATTTGATGTAGTCTTTTCTTTGGCGATGTTCGACGTAACTGACGGCACGAGACACAGTCCCATAGTCCCTAGGGCTTTACAATCCAGAACATCCCACTTTGCTTATTCCATATCCGCTGGCTTCGTGTCATCAATAGGTTGATACATATCCTTCTGATATAAAATATCTTTCATCTGCATCTTCTAGAACACATAGTTCGTACCATTGAATTTCTCAATCTTGACTTTGTTTTCAGCCATTGTGTAAACCCTGGACCTCCTAGCCCAGAGCTCTAATATCAATTGTTGGGATCTAATGCGCTTTAAACCCACAAACAAACACACATAATCGAAGAAAAAAACTAAAAAACATAAAATAATGAGAAGCAAGAAAGAACAAGACATATAGATTTTACGTGGTTCGGTAATTTATTTTTGTCCATGAAGCTGCAAGAATTTCACTATTGAGATAGCAGAATACAAAGGGCAGCTATAAAGTTACACTTAAATCCTAATCATCAAAGTAACAGGTTGTTATATGTCCTGTGTGCTGGGCTACAAAACAGGTCTTCGCTCTATGGACCAAGTCTCAGAAAATTTTTCATTAAAAACTACGCAACATCATTTCGGGTTAGGTCATCATTTGGATCAACACATAAACTAGACTCCACAAAGGCCCAACATATACCAACGCGTAAGGAATAATCTAAGTAGTAATAAGGACGATCTGTAAATTTAGATATCTTGAGTTGAATCTTGACAATTATTTGAAGCCAAAATATGAGTATTCTAAACTTGGCGTGCATGGTCTACCATTGACCAAATCAGAGAAAGGATTAGCCAAGATGCGTGTAAGTTAATTTGGATATTCCTAATCGTTGAACCCAAAAAAAAAAAAGTCCTTATAAATGCATCCATGTTCCTACACAAAACAATTAGAGATGAAATAGGATTTACTGTTAGTGTTACTTTCCACACACACAAAAAAAAAAAAGAATATGATTGATACATCCAATAATAATCAGTTGCGAAAACACAAACAGAGCTAGAAACTGCAAATTAGGTGGGAAAATAGAAAATCTTACTATTTGATTGGGCCACTTTAAAATTTTCATAAAAATTATATGAACTTTCTTTTCTTTTTTTAATACAAATCTGAAGTTCAAACATGTTTAATTGATTACATAAGACCAAGCTTTTATGAAATCATCAATAGGATTTCCTTATGCAGTTTCTTTCTAAATATGTTTTACAGGATTTTGGGTATGGATGGAGAAATCATCATTGATAAACTGGCAACATTTGTGAAAACTCATGAGTTATCCAAGCAGAGCAGGTCAGCATGTGAAGAAATTATTGAAAATCTAAAAAGAAGCCTCAAAGAAAACCATACTTCTTCAAAGCTTGGTTGCTAGAGCCATGGCTTTTCGCTTTCTCTGTTCTATCAGAGTTCTCCGATCTCCAAAGCAGAAAGGGATTTTGTATTGAAAACATGCAATATATTAGGAAAACATCAATCACACATGCATATCATGAACACTTTAGTGATCAAAAGTTCTTGGTTCAAGAGAATTGACATAGTGTTGGGCAAATTAAAAACTTTGGGCTAATTGTTTTTTAGCCCTTTTGTCTAGTAGAAACATACCTATTTGGCATTTAAAATTATGCACATTATTCCATTGTAGTTGTGTACCAAAATTAAATTGTTACTTTTATCATTTAAGTTAATAGAGTGTTCACATGCCCAAAACATCATGTGGGTTTTGTTTCCATTATCTCCCTCCACAAAAGAATATTGTTTAAGTGTCTAAAATGTCTCTTATAACATATGATGTAATACCTAAATAGTTAGGGCATCGGCCCCAGATCGAAAAACATAAAGAGAAACATGAGTAAGTAATTTTCGGTCCTAGATTAAAAGCCTCACTTGAGAGAAGAAGAGACTCTGTATGTTAAAGAGAGGAACATTTCTGTCTCAGCCTTAGTAGGAATTTTCGTCCATTACATGAGTAAAAGTAAATCAGATGATTAGTCGGATTTTATAACGTGAGTATTACGGTAATTTTATAATTTTGTTAATGGTGACAATTACTTTACTTTGATACATAACTATAAAGAGGTAATGTACATAATTTTAAATGCCAAGTAGCTAAAATATTTCTAACCGAAATCACACGAAGATAAAAAGCAATTATCCCCAACTTTTCCATTTGAACTATAACCCCGAGACCCACCCCATTGTTTGAAAAAAACTGGAAAGAAAAAGTTCCTTACTGCATGAAACTTCAACCTTACTTCTTCTATTGGAACATGAATTCGGTTATTTTTTTTGAGGTTTATCAACCGCTGGAATTCTTCGTCAATGAGGTGTACTAATTCCTATTTAAATTCATAATACTTTCCACAAAATCGCTTTGTCTTGTTCTTAAAATAAGATAGGTGTTAGTCTAGAAAATTGTACGAAAAAGCATATTTTCATCCAAAATTTAACTATTTTTAATTACGAAAATCTTAAAAGCATAAAACCTTAGCTTTTATGCTTCTTCTGATTGTCATTCCACATAAGACCATGATTATGTCATTTTGCGTGGCTTTTGATATTTTAAAACACAAACATCCGGTAAATAGCAGCCTCCAAGGGAAAATGGATCAGATATAAATTTAATATTATGAGATTATTAAGAAAAAATGTCTAATTCATGGTTGGTGTATTTTATTTAATAATATCCAAAAAAAACCACATAGATGTGTGGGGGGAAAAAAAGGTAATGTTACTCGTTCTAGATGTTCTTATCAAATTTTCGTCACAAATGACGTGACAATTTACATCATCAGATAAGAATAGATTTGTCTCATGTAAAATTAATGCAAATTAGGATCAAAACATAAATGTCGATTTTTTTTTTTTTTTTGTTAAACGGTAAAGAGTGTTTAGGTTAGTTTACGTACATTTCGACTAATCTCCTCTTCAGTCCGGTCAAATATAGGTCATCAACGCCCAAATTAGGATATTCATGAAAGATAAATCATTCATGGTCTAGTCGTAAAAAATTGTCAAGATTCGAACTTCATGTATTTAAGTTTACTATTGGTCTCTATTATCACTTGAGTTATTTTGCACGGGTGAATTACTGTAATGAGTTGAGTTAGCGATACGTAAAACGATCTTGAATGACGTTGAACTTGAAACAAAGGATTAGGAAAATGGGGCGGGGTGTGTGTCCAACTAATTCCCTCTCATTTTTAAGTCAATCAGCATAAAAATCATGAACAAAATGTATTTTTTGGATTAGAATTGTGTACCTTTGACTAACGTTTTTAGGAGTATTTATACCTGAGTTTGCAATAATGGTAGAATCATTGAGTCCTATCTAAGAATTTAATGATTTGTACTTATATTCAAGCATAATGAGTATCATCCTATCAAATCTTCTCAAGACTAACCCTCTCGGGCGAGTGGACCCTTGCTCGGCAACCACCGAGCCTTTATGGCCCCATCCCGGTCATTAGATACTTCTTCTCGACGTTTCACACATACGCTCAAGCGTTCACTACTCAGGAATAAGCACCTTCGGGGCTCGCCTGAGACATCAAGTCAACATAATGATAATTAATGTTTTGTAATGATGAGAATATAGATCTTCGTTAATGACCCTTTTACATTCACTCAAAACTCTATTAATAAGTTGTCATATCTTTTTTAATACTAGACCACGAGAGGTGCACTCGATCGTTCAAGTTATAACTCCTATGTGCCTTTCCTACACGTCTTTTGCCCTCCTTAACAACTACATTTGTTCGTGTATCTACTTAATACTGCCAAACCGTCTAAAATCTCATCATATGTCTAGGGATTAAATGTAGATTTTTCAAACTAAAGATGAGTTGATTTTCATTTTCATGCCTTCAATTGAGAGGTCTTTTCGAAATCTCATAATATGTGGTCTAAATCTATTGAGAGGCCCACTGGATTTAGTGTTAGGATGCAAAAAGTACAAGAGACAAGAGACAACCCCACCCACTTCCTCAAAAGAATTATGGACCATTTCAAAGCACAAACATGGGAAAACTGCAATGAGGCACAACTTTATTTTAGATTACTAGTCACCTTTGTTATGTTTTTCCATTATCTTGTCCTTCAAGCTCTATGGCATTTTCAATGGTCCTACCCCCACCCATAATAATAAAGTTAAATTCCATTCGAAGTAATTCAATTTCCACAAAAACAAAGCTATAAAACACAAGTTATACCTCATTATTTAAAATTTTGGATTTCATTTTGGTACCAAAGTTCTCGTCTTTGTCATAATAATGAAAGACTATTTTAAATTAAAAAATAATAATTTTACTTCACCCTTGATCTGGATTTGATCTTTACGTATTGTTTAGTTGCAATCACTCCCTTTTTTTCATAAAAATTGTTTTAAATTATGCTCTATATTAAAAAGTAAAATATAAATACAATTTCTAGCATGGGCATTTCTAAAATTCGATCCGTAGATATCTGGTCAACCCGAACAGGTCAAACCCAAATTTTTTAAGTTTTTGTAGATACAAAAAAATCAGAAATATACCCATCAAAAAATATATCTAGAAATATCTAAATATAATATATTAACAAAAGCTTAATTCAAACCAGCAGATTGCGATTACAATTAATGATAGAGAAAATTTTTAAAAAAAATTATTTATTTGCCATTAATCCGTACAATTTTCAAATATTACTCGGGTATGGTAATGAGTACGGGTCTCCATGGCCTTCGAAGTATCCGTTGCCTAATCGTCGCCGATAACGGCCGAAGTGGCCGTGTCCCTCCGCGACGCGAAGCCAGGCCGCCGCCACCACCATCGCTACTCACACCACCGGAACGAGCGGTTGCCGGTAAAAACCCCTCCTCTCCAACATCTCTCTCTTTCTCAGAGACCCTATCTTCAAACGGCGGCGAAGACACAAACAAATCCTTAAGCTTGTGACTGACAACTATCTCCTTCCCCTTTTCCGGCGAATCTCCCAGACGATCCGGTGATTCATGATCACGGCAGGGTAGCCTCCGTCCACTCCCGCCGTTTCGAGTGAGGAACATCCGCAGAGTCTTCCGGCGGCGGAGGTGGATTACTGGGCTTGTTGTTGGGCTTCGTGTTGGGCTTCCCGCTACGGCGCACTGGGTTGCTAGAAGCTTAAATTTCTGCAGAGTCGCCATTTTTTATCTGAATTGAGACAATCGCTTCTCTCTCTCTCTCCTTCTTAAACTTGGGAATAAATTCGATATGTGGGTAAGAAGTTATTTGGGTCTCAAGTGAATTGGAATTTTAGAGAGCGAAAGTGAGATCTGAGTTTCTTGTAGGGACTGGGCGGTCATAGATTCTTTGTTTCTTCTATGGTCCATTGCAGATTATTCAACTTCATGAAGTGATAGATAGGGAGATAGAAAGATAGAGAACTTGGGAATAAATTCGATGTTAGGGTCTCAAGTGAATTGGGATGTTAGAGAGAGAAAGTGAGATCTGAGTTTGTTGTAGGAAGTGGGTGGCCATAGATTCTTTGTTTCTTCTATGGCCTTATAACTATGGTCTATTGGAGACTGTGCACTTTTATGAAGTGATAGATAGATAGATATAGAGAAAGAGAGAGAAAATAAAGAAAAAATTGATGGGAGGAACAGGGAGCGGCTTTATGAAGGGAATATGAAGCATGTGTTTGGGTCTTTTGAGGCTTCCATCCAATTGAAGCTGAAGGCAATGGCATAATGCCTATTATTTACACTTGGCGAGAAATAGGGATGTTTGGAACCAGTCAGTTGTGGGCCCTGCCTTTGTATTCATATGTTTCATACGTACCCAATTTTTAAGCAAAGTACGATTACTACAGTGGACTATAATTGCCGTCCAAAGAAAGAATTGAAAAAAATGTATATGAGAGAAGTAGTAGTTTAAAATTTAGTCACGCTCATGTTGAATTTTTTGTTTTTGGGTTTGGTTGAATATTAGTTAATTTTTTGATAAAAAAAAAATATTCTTTAATTTTATTTTCACTATTTTGTTAATTATGTTAGATAAGTATATACTAGCAATAACATGAACTAGAAATTTGAGATTAATTTTGATTGATTTTTTCTTTACTAAATTAACTAATTATATTAAATAACTTTGTATTAACATTTGATCAAGTTGTTACCAAGATCAAGTCGAAAAACTTATCGGATTAAGGAATAAAAAGCCCATATAATTTTTTTTATACAATTGCATTTTGAAAAGTGTGTCATATTAAAATTAATTTATTTATATTTGACACGAACTCGACTCATTCTTTATACGAGTTAAGATTAACAATCAAGTATTGTTGAAATTTATTTCTAGTACAAATCCATTAGATCCCACTACACTCATATGATCTTTAACAAATGATCATCCTTAATAAAGCGTGAGCACTCTCTTGGATTCAATTCTATGCAAACTGTCATTTAAATTGCATCTTTAATCATTAAGTGTGGTAATGCTCTGAATGCTTAGCTATGAATGCTAGGGGAGGGGGGGTGCATGTACCTGAAAGTGTGAAAGGCAACTAGAGTGGAAGATTGCAATTCTTGATTACAGACTTTAAAGGTTAGCAAAATAAGCTGCTTTTTTGTTTTCTAATGTTAATACAAGTTAAAACATGTCGGTAATGTCAAAATCGAATTATTAGTATTTGATGTTAATTTAATCTTTTTATTACGCTTTGGCGAAACATGTCATTTTTCGGATTAGTGCGTAGTAATAACCAATCATAACTGCTAATTTTGTGTTAGAAAAATTACCTAAGAAAGATCTTTCGGTCCTTCACAACTTGGGTTAGTTTTCAATTCCACTTTCCTGTTTATTTCACTGTTGCAAAAAAAAAAAAGAGGAAGAAAAATAAAAGACATGATTGCATGATAGGGTTTTTTAGGGGTAATTTAAACATCCGGGTAAAAGTTTAGCTCACATTCAGATTTACCCAGGTAAATATATATAAACACATCCAAAATATGAAGATCTCCTTTTGCTATGTACATTCTCTTCTAACTTTGCATCAATCAATAATGTCCAAGTCCAACATAGAAATATTTTCAACTATGAAAAGAAAATGAATGTCTAACCCACTCAGTGACATCTTATCATGAGGATTTGCAATCCTCTCCACATCTGCATTAAATCATAAGCGAAAACTGAGAAGGAAATCTCAACCACTAGAATTAGGTGTAGAGTTGGTAACCCATTTTTCAGTGACTGCGGAATCAGGCGACAGTGGAGGATGGTTTAAAAGAGCCATGTCATCCGCCAAGATGTCCACAACCTCTGCTTTTTGAGAATTCAACCCTTCATTCTGTATTCCTTTCAAAGTCTGCAACACTTCATCCATTGAAGG